TATAGGAAATGGTAATATCCAATAAATATATTTTCTGAGTTCACTAAAGAAAGTCAATTGAGAATGATTTTGGTACCACCGAATCTCCTAACAATATAAAAAGAACCCTTACTTTCTAAAATATATTCCATAAAATGGATTAAAATACATACATGATAGGTTGCCCTCTCTCCCCCCCTTTTTTTGGTCGGTCGTGGGGCTTGAACTCTGGGCCTGGGTGCTGTCCCTCAGCTCTTCAGCTCAAGGTGAGCGCTCTACCACTTGAGCTACAGCACCACTTCCTCTCTCCCCCCTTTTTGTGCTGGTCTTAGACCTAGAACTCAGGGCATCGCATTCTCATTCATCTTTTCCTTGCCTTTTTCACTCAAGGCTGGTGCTCTACCACCTGAGCCACAACTCCACTTCTAGTGTGTTTTTGCTGGTTACCTGGAGATAACAGCCTCTCAGATTTATCTGCCTGGGCTGTTTTTGAGCCTTGATTCTCATATCTCAGCCTCCTGAGTAGCTAGGATTACAGGTGTGAGCCACTGGTGCCTAGCTTACATACCAGATTGTTAAAATTATTGCATATTTCTGATCACTGAATTGTCTTTGAAAATTTTGCAAAATGTAGAAAGGTAAGGCATTCCATACTAGACAAATAGGAATGGCATTCATCTTATTGTCTGCTGCAGTCCCAGTACCCAGTCCAATGTCATCCATAGTATTTATTTACAAAATACATTTGTGGTGATCGGAGATTTAGCTCAACGGAAGAGCACTTGCCTGGCAAGTACAAGGCCCTGAGTTCTAGCCTCAGCTCTGTTAAAAACAAACCAACCAACCAAAAACAGAAACAAGAACAAAAATCTTTTGTGTATGGCTCATGGAAATATCCTCCAAAGCAAAGAGTAAAACAGCGATTCCAAAGCAAAAGGAAAATCAGATTTTTGTTTTTTTGTACCAGTTCTGGGGCCTGAACTCAGGCCCTGGGCACTGTACCTGTGCTCAAGGCTAGCACTCTACCATTTGAGCCATAGTGCTACTTCCGGCTTTTTTGTTTTGTTTATGTGGTACTGAGGAATCAAACTCAGGGCTTTATGCATGCTAGGCAAGCACACTATCACTAAACCACATTCCCAGCCTCAGATTTCTTAGATAGTAATCTAAGCTCTTTGGGGAGGAAATAACAGACAATCTTGGAATTTATACAAACCAGAAAGGGAAAGGTTAGGTGTAGCCTAAAATACACCCAACTTAAAAAAGCATAATATAGTATTTTCTAAATGCACAATTTCATGTATAAGAGTTAAAAGCTGGCTCTCAAAACTGCAGTTCTAACTGTTCTCGTGTTCTCAAAGAAAAGCAGGAAGGCACTCAAAGGCTGGGGCTTACATTTGGCTATTTTTCCAATGACATACTTAAAAATGGACAGATGATGGGTAATTACAAAACCAAAGAAAATTCAGAGATTATTACACCTTTGCAAGACTAAAGATGTAAATGGGCTGAAGAACACAGGAATGGTAAATGCAGCTCTTACAGGCATTTTCAGGGAAGGAGATTAAATGAGGTCTACACTCTTAATTCAGGGCCAGTGTTTGCAGAATTGACGGTGCCAAGGCAAAAAGAACTTCTAATTTGCTTCAATCCCGTGATTAAGGGACTGGAGGTGTGGCTCAGGTGGTTCAGGTGGTGGTGTGCCAGCCAGTGAGTGAGTGAAAGCATCAGATACTGAGTTCAAGTCTTGGTTTCAGACAGAAAGAAAAAAAAAATAAGGAAGCTCTTTAAGAATTGAGGCACATGCTGGGTTCAAAGCTAACCCAGGCAGGAAAAATCTGTAAGATGCTTCTCCAATTAATCACAGAAAGAAAAATAAAGCTGAGAGCAGAGCTGTAGCTCAACGGGTAGAATTCTATACTTAGGGACAGTGCCCAGTCCCTGAGATGAAGCCCAGGACTGGCACACACACATATACACACGTCATGTGAGGAGCAAAGCCAGGCACAGATGACTCATGCCTGTAATCCTGGCTAGATCCTAGGATCTTGAGGCTGAGATCTAAGAATCTGCCAGCCCAGGCAGAAAAGACTTGAAACTCTTACCAACACTAACCAGCAGAAGCTGAAAGTGTTAAGTATGGCTCAAGTAGTAGAGTCCCAGCCTTGAGCAAAAAAAAGCCAAGTGGGAGTGCAAGGCCTTGATTCCAAGACCTAGTACCTACACAAAAGAAAAAAAAAAGTGGAGAACAAGCCCGGCACAGTAAGTGGTCCATGCCTGTAACCCTAGCTATTCACAAGGTGTCTGGATGGAGCACAGTTTAAGACCAACTCAGGTACAAAATTCAAAGCCCCTCATCTCAATCAGGGCATGGCAAATGGTATGTGCCTGTCATCCTACCTATGGGGAAGCAGAAGAGAATAATAGAACGGGATAGCCTGAATGTAAACCTAAGAACCTATTCAAAACAAAAGCTACTGAAGCAAAAAGGGCCAGAAAAGTGCCAGCCTAGCAAGCCCAAGGCTGAGTTTAAATCCCAATAATACCACCAAAACCAGAAAAACAATAACAACAACAACAAAATCATTGTGTTGCAGACCAGCGAATGCTGTGAACGTTGTTGTGCATCACAATCTTCCTGAAAGGTAAAAATCTGACATTACTGTAGAAATGATATAAAAAAGGAGTAGTTAAAAACTCATCTAAACTGACTTGAAAAGTCTTTCCACTAAACCACACTTCATCTTTGTCATACTGAAAAGGAGTCAAATAAGTAATAGGAATCTCTGGTGACACATATGTCTCTGACAATACTGGGACTTCAACTCAGGGCCTTTCCCTTACTAGGTATACACTTTGTATCACTTGAGCCATGCTTCCAGCCCAAGAATATCTCTTGAAATCATGACAAGAACAATTAACTGCTGAAATGTATCATAAATTTTACCCAGTATGATGACCTTGACGGAATCATGGACTACAGGAGAATGGCAAATACTACCATTTCTTAAAATGATGCAGGCTCGAGTAAAAAGGAACACACCTTCTGCTAGACAGTGGCCCAATCTGTGAATCACAAGGATCCAGCTCATTGCCTGAAAGGATGTTCTATGCACAGTGTATAGGTGACACATCACATTTACATATCTTAAAGCAGTTGCAGAGTTAAAGGCTCATTTTGATTAAGTCTACAGAGAGAAAGTTCCCAGTAAAAAGAGAATAGGAAAAAATTAAGACAGACTTTAGAGGAAAGTGACAGTTCTCCATTCTTCTGGAAGGTCATGGCTCCCTAATCAGATCTCTATACCAAAATGCTTATTACTGTAGTTCCTTAAATATTCCCAATGTTCCAGATTTTCTATAAACCAACCAAATTGACAGTATTAATACAGGAAAATTAATTCCAGATTCCAAATGAATGAACTACAGATAGTCTTATACAATACGATCTATTTGCATCACAACCTGGAGCTTGAACTCATGGCCTGGGCTTTTTGCTCAAGGCTAGCTCTCCACCACTTGAGCCATAACTCCACTTTTGGCTTTTGTGTGTACTGGTTCTGGGTTTGAATTCTGGGCCTGGGCACTGTTGCTGAGCTTCTTTTGCTCAAGGCTAGCACTCTACCAGTTGAGCCAGTGCCACTTCCAGCTCTCCTGAGTAGTTTATTGGCAATGAGTCTCAGTCTTTCCTGCCCAGGCTGGCTCTGAACAGAGATCCTCAGATATTAGCCTCAAGTAGCTAGGATTACAGGTGTGAATCATCAGCAGCTGTCTTAATCTTATTTCCAAACAAAACACCAGGAGTTTACTATTATTAAGCTCACTTGATGGGAACCACAACCATTAATGGGTGGTGATTTCTAACCATTCACAATTAGTAACTAAGCTAATAATAAGGAAACTACCTGCTTATAGTTTGGCTCTTGTGTCTCCCTAACGTATTAAGAGGCTTGGACTCTAGCTTGTGGCACTACTGGGAGATGGTAGAATCTTTAGGGGCAGGATTTAGTGGGAGGTCTTTTAAGTTCTTAAAAATCTGAAAAGGAACCGTGGGATTCCAGCTTTCCTCCTTGCTTCCTGGCCATGAATTAGGTGGTTCTGCAATATCACCTGCTCTTACCATGTAGCACCACAGGTTCCAAACAGGACTTACCCATCATGAATTGAAACCTTCAAAACTCAGAGCCCATTTTTTGTTGGCAGACTATCTCAGATTTTTATAGTAACAGCTGATAATGCATTATCCTCAGATTACATTTCCTAAAATTTCCCTTTTTTTTTTTTTGGTGCCAGTCTTGGGGGGGCGGGGGGGGGGGGGGGGGGGGGGGTCTAGGCACTGTCTCTGAGCTTTTGTGCTCAAGGCTAGTGCTCTACCACTGGAACCACAGCTTCACTTCTTTTTGTTGGTTAATTGGTAAGAAGAGTAAAACTAATTTTTCTGCCCCAGTTGGCTTCAAATTCAGTCTCCTGGTTACAGGCATGAGCCTGTAAGCTTTCTTAATCAATGTCAATATAAGACAAGTAAAGCATCAAGTTGGTGGACACTGTCTTTTATACAACAGAATTGTAGCAATATTGACATTTAGAATTTCTCCCTTGCAGAATCAACTCCCTACAGTACTAGATGTTCCTCTGAAGAATCTAACATGATGGCTTTGCTATCTAAGGGACTATTAGAGATGTGGACATGGAGTGTTACTGACCAGGACCCAGCAATGCATGACTGAGGACGACACAAGAGAGAAAGGAAAGAAAGGAAGAAAACACGCACCTCAACCCACACAAAGAACCCAGTGCCCATAGTAGAAATTATAACACAAATATACTTCTAATAAAAATAATTGCCCAAATGAAAAGCGCTTGCATAATACAAACAGAATGCCGAAATCTAAGCTTTTTTTGGGGGGACTATGTGGTTTTAATGCCATACGTAACCTGTATCTGTAAAACCATGAAAAATAGCATAGAAAGTACACTGTGGTAGAACTTTGGACATGAGGAATAAATAAGAACAGGAATGATAGAAGCGTATTTTCTTTTATATACAAAAATGAAGGCCCAAAATATGGTTTGCTGAAGTAGTTACAGACAAGATGTTAAATTCTTTTACCTTTGCTTTGGTTAAAACAGCCTAGGAACCAGTCAAGCTCCCCTTCTACCAATGACATAAAAACAGTGACAGGACTACTTTTAGTACAGAATAAACTTTTAAGGAAAATTAATTTTTAACTAAATTAAACATTTACCAATAAATAAAAATTTTTTTAAAAGGTAGCATCTTCAATTCTACTATCCTGGCATAACACTTACACCAATTTAAAAAATAAAAATTTCCCCACAATAGTAATTACAGGTGTTAATGCAGCAAGCTATGAAATTACTCCAATGTATTTTTTTAAAAAGAAAAATTCTAGCAACCAAACTTGAACTTTAAAGTGTTGGCATCTCTACAAGTTTACACATTCTAAATAACTAATATTTTCTTACAGAACATAATTCAAACAATTGTCTGCATTTCAATATATTCTTAAGGAAATGGTTAAAAGAATATTTAGTACACCAAATCTGAAAGAGTTTATAATTCTGATTTGCCGCTACAAAAAGGCATCAACTTCTATTTAGAACTGTAACCAGGGATGAACTATACTTCAAGAACATAAACATTTGGTCTGACGTATTAATTAAAATGATCTGATGGCATCTGTTGCAGATAGGAAGGTATTTTAATCCAATGTGCAAAAAAAAAAAAAGTGCAGCTGTCTCCTTGAACTTGAAATATATAAAACCAACACTACTATTTACACACTTAAAAAATTTAAATTTATTTAAGTAAGCATAGTGCATGTCCTTAATGGGAAAACCATGTTATAGGGAGCTGAGAAGCCTGATGAGATTGTTAAACTGTATATAAGTTATCTGAAGGAGCGTATCTGCTTTTTGTCTTAATTTTGATTTTAAATGTTAAGTCCAATTTCAAAATCAATTCTGAATCATTTTGATCTAGGACATCTTGGAACTGTCACACATGTGAAAACCTTAACTCTTGAGAGCTTTTCCTACTCCTCTCATCATGGGTCCACTCCACAATTCCCGACTGCTGCAGAGTGGCAATGCCCCCAACAAGGAGAAATCTAGGAACTTAGTCCCCAAACCACAAGCATTGTGGTGGATTTGCTTGGCCTTCAATATGTGTGACTACAGCTTTTGATGTAGGTTTGAGGGCAATCAACATGGATGGAGAAACAGTTCAGCAAAGCAATTATTGTTTGTTCACAGTAACAGTAAAAAACAGTGATATAAAAAAAAAATTAACAAACCAAATAATCTAATACCGCTCTGCATTTCCAGAACTTGGTTTCAGACCTGCGCAGTGTTCCTGGGTCAACCACCTGCTGACATTTTCTGCGCCTGTATGAAATACTTTTCTTAAGTCGTTAAAAAATGCTGTTTTGACCATAAGTCATGTACACTTTGATGATTAGGAAATCGATTTACTCAGTTATTTATGCTATGCAGCATGCTCTCCAGCCTGCCAAGTGGAGAGGAATTGAAAGTGACATAGAAGTCTCTCTCTTTAAACTGGTCACCGGAGTTCTCCAAACCATAGAAAAGAAGGGGAGGGGAGCTTCCTGGCAACATGAATACTAGACACTACACAAGACAGTCACACTGTTGGGTCAGAACTTAGGAACTCCATTTCCTTAAAAAGTTTAAAAATATCTAATCACTGCCAAAGTCCAGTGAGTACACTCAGGTGTGCTTCCACAGCAGTCCCTGGTGTTCACAGGGATTCTGTCCCATAGATGCAATCTCAGTGTTGCCTCTCAGGCCAGCCCATGGGTTCCAGTTTATCCCTTCACCTCTAGCTGCAGGCTATTGTTTCCAACTGCTGCTCTGCCTCGGCAGCCATGGCTGCGGCCTGCAACTGTTCTGTTTCACTCTGGAGGGCACTGGGAGTGACTTGCTTCCTTTCGCTGTGCATATTGTTCTCGTGCCTCTTCAGATCTGAAGCCTTGGCAAATGCCTTAGTGCAGGAGCCACATACAAAAGGCTTTTCCCCTCTGTGCCTCCGCTCGTGGTCCTTGAGGTGGGACTTGTGTTTGAAGGCTTTGTCACACATATGGCACGCGAATGGCCTCTCGTTACTGTGAACTCTCTCGTGCTTCTTTAAGTCCGGGGCACGGATAAATGATTTCCCACACACCTCACAACTGTAGGGTTTATACCCTGTGTGGATTTTAAGGTGTTCTTTCAGGTGGGCCTGTGTGGTGAAGCCTTTGGTACACATTTCACACACAAATGGCCTGTCGGCAGTGTGGAGTTTTTCATGTTTTCTCAATCTGCCTTCGTCAGAAAATGTCTTACCGCAGGCTTGGCAGGCGATCTGCTCCCGATGGTGACCATAAAGCAAATACTCAAACTTCATGTCACTGGCAGCTGTCGTCCAGCCTGGTGTTTGTTCGTCTTTCACCTCACTCATTCCATCATTAAATGTTAAGGCTTGAGGGGTCTGGGACCCCAAATCTTTGGATTCTGGGGTCTCCATGGATTCTACTTCCTGGCCGTAACAGTTTACTTTTCGGACCTCCTCGCTGCCTAGCTCTTTCAAGATTGCCTCCTGAACCCTGAGTGTAGTCGTGGGTGACTTGCCGTCCTCCTGGCTTGGGGGAGTGCCTTCTACTGTGTCATCAGAAGGACTGTCATCCTGATCTCCGATTTCTTCCACATCATCATCCTGAGTGTCAGCAGCATCTCCAATGGGGCGGTTTATTTTGAGGCAATATTTACTCTTTGATTGGCCATTATTTTCATCAGGGCTAGATACATCACGCTTCTGAGAACAGAGTTTATCTAAAAACCGGATACCAAGAATCTGACCTGATGACATCATTAAGTTAACATCTTCCTTCTTCACGGAAATCTTTGCCGTGTACATGTAGTTCAGAACCTCTTCAAATATATCAGAACGTAGAAAATCTATCTCTATCACTGAAGAACTATCCACCTCAAGCTTCTTGAAAAGCTTTTTGAAGTAGGTGCTACAGGCGGCGAGAACACATCTGTGGGCTCGGAATTTTACATCTTCAACCACAATGGCAATGTCACAGAATTCTCCTTCCAGGCGTTGTTCATTTAGTGTTTTCAGAAACAGAGTTTTATGATCATCGTCATTATATTTAATGGTTTCAGACATACTGATGAAAAACTCCTACAAAAAAAAAATGTCCAAGTTTAATCATCATCAGCAAAATACTTCTCCATACAGAAAACATAGGCAGACTTGTATTTTATGATCAATCCATAGAAACCTGACCATTTCAGAAAGACAATGCTAAGGGTGGTTCAAGAAGGATGGCTTAAAGGTACTTTTATGCAATATTTTTAATAGTAATAATATTGATTTTTGTGTGTGTTTCTGTATGTATAATGGCTCTTAGACTCAGGACCTCATATTCTTGTTTAGATTTTTTTTGCTCAAGACTGAAAAGAATGAAACTGAGAGGTTTCTGTATTGGTAACTATACTTCGCCTCAGCGTCCTAACATTTCCCAAGTTACAACAGTAATAGTAGTAGCAACTTTTACCCAATAATGCCAGGTGTTATTCTATGTACTTTAAATGTCTATTAACTTAAAATAACCATGAGGAAGACAAAGTCAAAAAATCTACCCAGTATTCTACAGCTATTTAATCTAGACTCAAATCCAGGTCATTTGGCTGGAGTTGATTTGGAATTTAGCTTCAAAACCCATTGTCCCGGACTACTAAAAGACAATAACGTAAAATAATTTCACTTCAAGGTTTAAACAGGTTTAAGAAAGGATCTTGCTGGTTTTGTCTATGTAACATCTAACTCGTGGAAGACTTGGTAAAATATCTTAATAGTCCTGAGTGTTATGTTTCCTTAGTAGAGGACATAAACCACTATTGTGGAACTAGAAGAAAGCACTGCCAAAACATTCAGTGCTAGCTCTGAATTGTGGACCACTCCTTAGTGAAGATCAAAGTTTAATTAGATGACAATGGGAAGAGTAATAGTGGCTTGGAAGTGCGGGTTAAGTATCCTTTACCAGAAATGTTTCTGGTTTGGACTCTTCCAGATTTTGAAATATTACCACAGATACCATAAGGTATCTTAGGGATGGGATCCCTATCTAAAAAAAAGTTGACTGATGTTTTATATACACCTTATAATATCGTCTGAAAGTAATTGATACAGTATCTTTTTTATAGTAACATAACTATGTATATATTTTGGGGGGCTGTTAAACACAGGGACTTTTTGCTTGTTTAGTTTTTTGCTTAAGGCTGGCACTCTCTACTACTTGAGACACACCTCCACCTGCAGTTTTTTGCTGGTTAACTGGGGATAAAGAGTGTCTGGGATTTATCTGCCAAGGATGGCTTTGGATTGTGATCCTCAGATCTCCTCCTCCTGAGATGCTAGGATTACATTTGTGAGTCACTAGTACCTGTCTAATAGCAATGACATTTTAAACAAAGCTCCAAGACACTAAGTAAACATAAAATCCTTTTCTCAAGATTTAAAATACAAAGGTATAGTTACCATGAACAACTGAGGCTATTTTCTTAATGCCCTGAACACCAAAATCTTCAGATCAGAGTAATTCTGATCCGGGGCACGCCAGACCTACAGAGAAAAAACAAAGAATGAAGTGAGATTTTCCTCTATCCCAAATTCTAAGCCAAGAATAATTCCAATATTTTTTTTTATTGTTGTTGATCTGGGCCTGGGTGCTGATCCTGAGCTCTTCAGTTCAAGGCACTCTACCACTTGAGCCACAGCCCCACTTCCTGCTTTTCTGCTTATGTGGTGCAGAGGAATTGAGCCCAGGGCCTCATGCATGCAAGGCAAGCACTCTACCACTGAGCCAACTTCCCAGCCCCCCCATCCTTAATAAAACCCTTTTTTATTTTGCCTCTTGGGCTTTTTTTTAGGGAGTATTAAGACGTGGCTATCAGTATCCTTACCAGGACTGGTTTGGAGCAGATATAGCCTAGAACTGGTGAGGGTTATGCACTGAGAATCTGAAGGATAAATTGGAGAGAAACTAAAAGGCTGTCCCCTGGCTAGCAGAGCCATGTCTGTATCTGCTCAGATGCCGGAGTTGTCCCTCACTCACCTTTCTTGCTTCATGCTCCACTACCATTTCTCTAGGAGCCTGTAACTTGTATAAGTACACACATCCTTTCCTTTTTTGTGTGCTGGTTTTGGGGCTTGAACTCCAGGCCTGGGTACTGTCCCTGAGCTGTCCTGCTCTACTATTTGAGATGTATCTCCATTTCCAGCTTTTTGAATGGTTAATTGGAGATAACAGTCTCATGGGCTTTCTTGCCTGGGATGGCAATCCTCAAATCTCAATCTTCTGAGTAGCTGGGCAAGAGTCCTGTTCTTTACATATCTACGTGATGTAGCACACACTTCTAAGATTGCACTTGATAAACCCACGCATTTAAAAAAAATTTATTTGTTCATTTATTTGTCGGTCGTGGGGCCTGAACTCTGGGCCTTGTCCTTCAGCTCTTCAGCTCAAGGCTAGTGCTCTACCACTTGAGCCACAGCACCAATTCTGGCTTTTTCTGCTTATGTGGTGCTGAGAAATCAAACCCAAGGCCTCATGCATGCAAGGCAAGCACTCTACCACTGAGCCACCTTCCCAGCCCAAACTCAGGTATTTTTAGCTCTAGGACTTACAGCTTTGTGTGTGCTTTCTTATTTGAAAATCTCCATCCTGCTGACCAGTATTCTGAATAAAAGTTTCCTATCCAGAAAGTTTCCTCTACTAAGAACCCCCAAATAATCTGCCTGGTGTGTGAATAATGGGTTATAATACACTCCTACACAACCACCTGGGTGCAAAACTCCAACTTCTGAGAATGCGGTATCTTGAAAACCCTAAGAAATTCCTTCCATAGGAAACACCAAGTCATTTAGGATACTTGGGATTGTCTGATCAGCAGTTGATCAGAGTTGTGAAGAGTCAGTACAATCTTTTCTGAAGATGCTCCTGACTTGACCATTCCATTTGTCTGGTCTCTGCCTCCCGGATGTGCACCAACTGCAACCTGGGGGTCTAGTCACCCCGAGGGAGGGCAGTCCAGGCTCAACCTTCCTACCGCGACACTTCCTTCCAGTTGTCACTACTAACTCAGTGCTAAGTGGGCTAAAAAGTGCCTGGGACCTGAACCAGCAGTGTCTAACGGTAGTCATGGCAACCTACCAGCGTGCTTTTCTATTTCGGCTAGTTTGGATGTGGCCACCCCTTGGGTTTTTCAAGATCTCTCAGGACGGAAAAGAAAAAGACCACGACGAGCTCATCGGTTCATTTTGTTCTATAGATATATCCGCTATTAAATCCAGATGAGTCAACCCCAAAGAGAGCCATTGCCCGTCTGTGTGTAAATGACAGACGCAGAACAAGATGTAGCTTCCAACGACACCTCCACAAGTAAACCGACCTGAACAAAGCAGGCAGCGGGGCTTCCAGCAAAGCCGAACTTACATAAGCAGCCGCGACAATGGCGGCCGCCCGACTTCCCGGCAGCAAACAAGCAGCTCGGAAACCGGGAGGAAGCGGGGCAAGAAGCGCCGGAGCCCCGGAGCCCGCCGGGCCTCGCCCCGCCGGCTCCCCTCCGGGCCTGGGAGGTGGGGGGTGGAGAAAGCCTTTTGTATTCCTTCCCCAACAAAAGCTGGCGGCCCGGGAGCGGGGTCGCGCCGGGGCCACTTTCCCTTTCATCCTCTCCGGGCGGGCGCAGGCCGAGGGCCGCGGCTCCGAGCGCGGGAGGCA